CGGCCACCTCTGGCACCAAGGCATGCTCGTCACTGTCTGAAACCCAGGAGACGCGAGGCCGTTTGGATGGGCGTGACGTCTGCGCTCCCATGGCATCTCTTTTTGAGCACTTGGCATATTCGCAGTGTCTCAGAATGTCTCAGACAAAGCTTTGAGGCAGAACAGCAGAGGGCAGGTCCTCAAGATCATTACCTTCCGGCCAGGCCGCAGTCCTTGGCTAAAAAACTCTCGGATCTCTCGGCTATGTCGATGTTGCATGCACCTGACTGCGTCTGCAATTGTCGCTGAAACGCACTGAGCTGTGGGCCACGGCCCTGATGAGGAGACTGTGGAGACACAATCCATCCTGGACATGAGCATGGTGCTTGCTGTCAAGTCATGTCAACCTTAAGCACGATGGGAGCCTTTTGCGGGTGTCTTTGGCTCGTCGAGAGAAGACATGCCATCGGCACAGATCCACTTCAATCGAACAACCACAGGTGGGCGGACATACTTTACAAGGAGCAACAGCTCGGTGCAAACATGCAGTGTATGCCATCATCGTCTGGTCCAATCCAGTCGTGCATATGTACAGAATTGCGCACAAATTCGGAAGACGCATGTGTTCTTTCTCTTGCTGCTAAAATGCTCAGAATTGAGCTGTCAGAAGCAGCACCATCCAAAACCTCAAGACCCATCGCGACTCACATAGAATTGCTGTTGACCTGGCACCTCCGCAAGTCCGTCTGAACTAAGCCCGCAACACTTCTTTAACACTGTGGTTGCAAGCCGTTGGCCGTATGGGATGTACGACAGCGTGTACCACGCGAGCGAAGCCCTAGGCTTGAATGCAAGGACGTCAACTCCTGTAGACGTTCCTTTGCTCCAGTCATCACTTTGCTTGGGAGAATGCCATTGCAGGCCAACCAGCGCTAGGATGGCCAGCGAACGGCCGAAGAAATGGGGCACCTCCAAGGTGGTTGTGTCTACAACAGCATGCAAAAGCTGCTGCAGTTTCCGCAGGTGCTGATGCCTGAAGGCCCAGCAACGTCAAAACCATTGACACCAGGAACACTGCCGATGTGTTCGCCTGCTTGGTTAAAAGAACGGCGCAAGATTAAGGTCTGCAGTTGCATGATAGATAGCCGCTACTAAGCAGCTGCGTAAAACACATGTGTGTGTAACGGCTGAGTACACAGACTGAAGGTTATCACGCGTTTTGGGGGCATCTCTTTACAGGGTTGTGGCACACTGCCGTTGTCATATCTATTGCTTTGCAGTGTTTTGTGGGATCCCTGGCTCGGATGCTCCACATCTTTTCTTTCGGGTGGGATTCTTAGTTGTCGCAATTCGGGGCATGACGCTGTTTTGGGCCGGGGGGGGGGGGGGGGNNGATCGTTGCTGGCGTTGTTCATGACTGGGTGGTTTTATCTCTGCCTCTTCTCGGCGCATGCACGATGATACAAGAAAAGCGTTCACGTAATGTGATGAAAGCTGTCGAAACCTTGAGCACAAGGCATCGTCTAAGGCTTCCACCCGACTCTTGTCTGACATCTTGCGAACTTGTCGTCGGGGTCCTGCCTGGGGGCATCCAGGCGTCATTCTCAGCAGCTTAGCTCATGACGCTCAGACACAGGTCAACATGAGCACTGGAAAACCTTCACACTTCAGCGAGCTAGCGGCCAGGAAAAACGTTCCAATAAGCGCCACTATATTCCTGAAAGCAAGTTGCACAACTGGTCTTGAAAAAGATACACCGCGCCTGAAAATCAGTTGGCTAAGCTTGTCACCCTAAGGTGTACGTGAGCGCAAAGCGGCTGGGATGGCCAAGCATGGCCCGCGACCTTGCCGCCAAACAGGGTATAAATGTAAGGCTAGTTGGCTACAAATCTTGCTCACTTGATGCGGCTGGGCGTCAGCGAACCCAGGCTCATCACTTGCAGCAAACACCCCAAACCTTGCAGAAGTTCCATTGGTGAAGTTGAAAGCATTCGAGGGCACTCACGAACCAGACATTCGAGCTGAGAAGGGTGCCGAAACACACTCCCCAGCCTTGACGAGGTGCAAGCAGCAAACAGCGAACACGAAGAGACGCTTCGAGGTCTGAACCAGTAGCTCTCTGCTTGTAAGTGATTTCTGGGCAGCAGGTTTTCCAAAAATCGTCTTCATCCTGCAGCTTACACACCCTGATCCTCTCTCAGCGGCGTGGTGCAAATGAGAAGGTTGTGCAAATCCTCTCCTGGTCTTCCTCCTTACGGAGGAAGCTTGGTGTGACACTTCTGAAGACATCACCTAGCCTTGGCGATCGATTGCTCTTTCGAAGCATCTCCAGTCGTCTCAAGCTGCAGCTTGATGGGGGCTGTGATGGGCTGAGTCTAAGCGCCAGACCCGGCCTCCAAGTCTATCGGCTCAAAGGAGACGTTAGGAAGAGGGACCTTGGAGACGCGAGAAGCAATTTCACAGGATGAGCTTGGAGACCAGGAAGGCGGCGTAGTGGCTCATCTTGTGCCTCAGCGAGTGCCTGCTGCGGGGGATTGCAGCGTTTGCTGCAACAAGCGCGCTGCTACTGCATGCTTCTGCCAGCCTTGCAGCAAACAAGCGCACGTGCTTTGCCCGTGTTTGGACCCAGCTTAGGTCCCAAGGAAGCTAGGAGCCGAAACAAAGGAGGACCATGCACGAGCAAGCCTCGTACTAGATGCCACTACAACATGCACTTAATTGGCCATGATGCTGGCAGTCCTAGCAGGTCTGGAAGGAAAAGAACGCAGAACCTCAGAACACATGTTGAATGCCAATGGCTCTGGATGCAAGCCACTCGAGCACTCAGAGGCGGTCCTCTTCCTCAAACTTACCTATCAGGGATGATGGCTGAATTAATTTCATGCCAGCCATAAGCTGACACAAGCGTGGACACCTGCGGTTGCGCCCCCCAATTCTTGCCTGGAGATGGCTTTGGGTGAGAGCTCTGCTCGTACGCTTCATCCCACCTCTGGCGCAGCGCGCCACCTGCAGGAGGACCTGGGTGGCAAGTAGACTCCCATATCTCTCTGATGTTGATTGGACGCCTGCATTATCGGATTGATTACCACCATCTCTCCCGCCACTAATATGTCCAAGCCACCGGGGCCAAGCTCCCGACCAGCCCCTTGCCAACACATGCTCAAATTGCGTCAAGCCACCGAAGGTAGGCCAGGCATTACCCCTTCATCCTGGCCTGGCCCGCGTGATGCAGCAGGTGCCTGGCTCATCCGAGCACATGCCAAGCCACAGCTGTAGCTGTGTAAACAATCCGACTGGGCACACGCTACAACCTGCCTTGGAAACACCATAGGAGGGTACAAACTGCGGCCGAGATTTGCCAAACACCTGCAAGCGTCCACTCAACTCTTTCCTATGAAGAATGGAGGAGACAGCGGCGCGTGTGGCAATAGCGCCTTCTGGCAAACAGGCTGATGTCGGGCGTAGCTGGCCGGATTGAACTTGCGCCCGCAGAACTCGCATTCCAAACGTCCATCTGGACAGCGGCAGTTCTGTTGCAGTTCAGCTTTCAGACTGCTCCAGCTGCGCAGCAGAATGCAGAATGTCTCATCAATTACAACCGGCCCCCTCCCCCTACATCTTCAGCACTTGATATGCCCAAGTTTGGCAGACCGCCCTGCACCTTTACGTTGTCTATTTGCCCTGTGCAGCCCCACGTCCCGCACCAATCGCAAGTTGACAGTTCATAAATACTGCAGGAATTCCATTCCATATCCATAACCTGCAGATAGATGCCAGATGATGCCAGTCATTCTTAGCCAAATTCGTGCCTGGCTGTCTGCATTGCTGCGAAGACAGCGGTGCCGAATCCTGATCGCATGTGGAACTCTCAATTTGCGGCCAGAGCTCACCAACCAGCTGGCAAGAGCCTCCTGGACCCGATCTTCGGACTCAGGTTCGGTTTCCGCCTCTTCCTGTTCAAATGCCTGCAGTCATTCCGAAAGCCAGCAGGAAATCAATTACAAGTAAAACCGCAGGCTCAGGACATCTCAGGACAAATGAACGAGCACAAATGTCGAAGCTTTTCATTCGCGCACCCCAAACAAGCTCTTAACTTGCAAACCGCGGAGGCGTCTTGCCTCACCCCTCCCCGTGAGCACTTGTTCACCAGGTATTGGAGTCTTAGATTCTCATGGATTGTCTGCTTTGTGACAATGGGTCAGATTCTCCGCAACAAAGCGGACGGCTCCAATGCCCTCCGATCAGAATTTGCAGTCGGCAAGGCTCCCCACCTTGAACAGTGAACGGCGTCAAAAAGCAGCATGGTCATCAGTGCCTGTCAGTCTGACAAATCCGGGCTCGCGGCGTGACGGATGAGATCCGCTGCGCGTGTTTCACGCGACTGTACCTACTTCTGCCGGGGTTATTACATATCAGCTGGTGAGAATATGCATCTCCAGCCGTAGACGCTGCATCAGGCAAGATATACATCATGGGGGAAGTTGCGCATCACGGGATGCAAATCCCCAAGGAGACGCTCACACATGCTGATTTTGCTATGGGATTTCGCTACCAGAGCCCGCGGGAAATCCTGTATATGTACTAGGGGACCTTGCAATAGGCGCTCACACAAATAATCACAAATACTGATTTTGTGATGGGAATTCGCGACAGGAGCTCGAGAGAAAACCACCATAGCAACGCTATTAGACTCCAGAATGTCGTGCTGAAACCACCAAACTGCATGTAGATACTGTCATAAACAACATCTCTCCATTATGTTCTTATGCAGTGGCCAATCCCAAAACATGGTTTCCCAAAGTAAACGCTCAATCAATGCGCAAATAAAAACGCGCGATGTACGACAACTAATATGGTTTCAGAATATCACAGGCCATGCTGCCATCTCGGACCACGAAAGTCAGCGAGCTAAGCCTGCTGCAAGCTCCTGCGCTGTGTCGACCTCAGCTGAGTGGGTTCCTGCTTTCTCCGGGGGGGGGGGGTCAGTTGCGCACCTAAGGCTCCATGCTGCCGTCGCGGACTCAGAAGTCGTCGTCCACCTCGGCAAGACAGCTCTTCGCGCCTAATTGTGCTGACAAGCGCACAAAAAAAGAAAAGATCGGGACCCAGCTGCTGCTGTACCAGAGATGGAAGCTTGTGCCTCAAACATTTCGACAATCTGCTCGGATCCCGTGGACTCCTCGCCAACACGAGCGGCAAGGAGTCATGTAAGTGCGAGGATAGCACCCACGAGACTGCAATGTTTTTGTTGCGAACGTCAAAGACCTTGCATCGCTTCCAGTCTCCTCTGGAGTCTTGTCATCTCGGATGCGCAGGAAGCGGGGGAATCGAAGGCCGATTCCCTTTCCGTCAGCCTTGCACCACTACTTGCAAGAAGCGCCTGTGCTCGAAACAACTTCTGAGCTGCCTCAAGCACTTCTAAACAGAAAGCCCCACACGACACAAGAAAAAACGGTCCTTCTTGGTAGCACAACGTAGCACAGCAATCAGCTGCGGTGAAAGCCAACGCTAGAACGCACCAATGAAAAAGTAAGACAACGGACCCAGGCTTCTCACAACTCAGGGAGGGAGAGGCGTGTGTTGCTTGCTGCGCGCTTCCATTTGGATATCATTCTTCTTAGCCATCGTCTGCCACGGAAAACCAGGCTTAGCACAGCTGCCAGCAAAACAAACAAACTCGAAAATGCCGTGTCAGCGCACCGGCCTTTACCAAAGGTCGGCGAAGAGAAAATGTTGCAACAAAATGGCTGATAAATCATGAGCAGATTTTCACCCATACTCATGGCGATACTGAGGCTTGCATCGAAACAGAAAAGCTGTTTCTGCACGAACCCCTTCAACTGCAAGGGCATCAAAAGCTCGGCCTTTACACCAAAGGCGCTGGTGTGGACGGGCGAGATGCTCAGATCGGCTGCTCTGATCTCCCAGACCTGCAACGCTTTGCATGTACTGCGGCTAGCAGATGCTAGCAGGCTAGGTTGTCATTCGAGCAAGCACAGCATTGAATCAAGTCGTTGCATGGTAAAAGGCGCCAATACTGTCCGTGAAGGCAAAAATCGGGGAGGGGACAACCGTCATTTGTGATTTCCAACCCTCCATTCCGTGTGAGCCCTTGCATCTGAGGTTGAGATGTCAACTCAAACTGTTGTAAATTCTTGGAGATTCAAGTTTGGAAGCAAGACGAGGTGCTTACAGCATCGAACTGAATGTGAAAATGTCTTGCACCGGCCTGACAGGGCTCGAGCCACACATCTGGCTTCAGTTTGTCATTGACGTTGTAGTTTGTCTCCCAGCTCGAGCATGAGATGCAGCATCGACTACCAAAAAGAGCAGATGCCAAAGCCTCTGCGCATGGACGCTGGTGATTTTTGAAAAAGCCATAGTGCGTCACCAGATCCTGCACAAGCAGACTGCCAAACAACTCTTCGCTCCTTCAGTATGCCCCCCACAGCTGAAATTCATGAATCTACTGACGAATACTTGGTCCTCATCGGAGAACCCAGTACCAGCTTTGCATACGGTCTGAAACTCTTCGTTCTGCACGGGCAGCAGGCGACGCTGCATCAGGACAGGTCTATTTCTGCTGCCCAGCCTCCTCGTCGTATATTGCGAGCAGGTATGCACCGTAGGCGCCAGAACGCTTGCCCTGCTTCCAGGTTGTGAATGTGTTGCGGCAGACAAGGACATGACTTGAAGCAAACCATGCCTTGCCATAGTATGCGCCAATAGGCACCACGTCGATGCTGTCAGCCATCCCTTCCAAATAGTCCTCCGTGGTGTTCTGCAAATTGCGGACTCAATCGGTCAAATCCGCACTTGAACCCGTAAAACGTCAGAATGAAGTCAACACGAGTGCCGTATCGTCTCCTTGTCCCTGCACAGATATTGTACTAGTACCAGCTTGAGCATCTGCCCCTCCAAACTGCAAGTGCTCTGTATGCCCCCCTGCCTTTCCTATAAGAGCTACAGACAGGCAACCCAATGTCCTTCTTCAGCTTCAACCAATTGAGCGACCTCTTGGATGGCTCGTAGGTTGCATTCTCTGTCAATGTCTTCAGCATCAAGCCCTGAGGAAAGTGCAGCACACGTCCAAGGAAGTTGCTTAACTTACAGAAACGGCTTTACAAAGTGAAGCACCCATGTTCTTCGCATGATGTTAATTTTCACATGTTCTTTTGGACGCTGCCTCGCAGGATCCTGCAATGGATTCATCCAGAAAGGCCTCCCCGCAGCAAGCTCAGCAAGCTGCGCTTCACCGTAGCAAGCGCAGGAGCCTGGATCTCCTCCTCATTGATATCGTTGAAATTTCGATACACTGCGAAGGTGACCTGTGATGCTTCCCGCGTGGCAGGAGCCAAACTTATGAGAACCTCTTACTTTTCAAGAAGCTGGGGTCAGGAAAGATTAATCCTTAATTAGTTGCTGAGTTCCCTAGGCTTCAAGCAGTCTACACTGGTCCACAGTCTACACTTCTCATTAAAGTAGGAATATAGAAGCCCCAAAAATGAAAAACGTGACACAGATTTTTGCCAACGAAACGCCCCAGCATGTATGGACCAAGCTGCTTAGCACTGGTTTCCTTATATGGGGAATTTGTTGGCAGCAGGAAGGATATTGATTGCAACCTGGCTGCGGATGAAATCTAAAAAGGATTGCCGTCCTTGCGCTCATCTGTTCGATGGTTAGTTTGTGTTTTGATAAGCCTCGATCAAACGTACTTGCTGTCCATGTTTGCTCGCTGCGTTAACTCTGGAGTACAATGTGATTACGACTCTACTTTGGATTTGGGTATCTGTTGATGCTGATGTTCATCATCAGTTCTACACTACCCAGGAAGATGTCTGCATGTTCGCGATACCCGCTCCTGCAACTGACCCTACTCCACACGTCTGAAACATGCCCTTTAGCAGATGATTTTGCGGCTAGACACACGCTTTTTAAAAGACTCCGGTTGCATCCATCAACATGAAGCTCTGACTGCGCTCCTCTCTTCACATGTGCAAGATCGTGCAAGTTTTGGGCATATCGTGGCAAGCTGTCGCGTGGTTTCAGGGGTGGTCCAGCCTTGCCCTCGGAAGGTGACAGGATTTTCCACAGCTTCTCTCTTCGCACTTCCAATGGCTCCTGCCGCAAGCAGCAATCTCAAATCAGGATTGCATAGTTTGGCACAATGTGCAGCGAAGCGCACAATAACGCCTGTCGTTGATCTGACAATGCTTTCAATAGATCAAACCTTTATGGTTTCATCCAGATTGCCATACTCAAGCCAAACAATGTATGGCAATTCACGAGACTTGCTAACAAACAAACGACAGCACCCTTACTGCTTGAGAAAGCACTCGTCGAAGAAAATGTGCCCTCAGCAGCCGTGTGAGTACATAGCTTTTCAAAAAATGCAACGGTAACTTCAGAAAAGTGATCATTGGCTTCCCCACGCACGGAGAAGGGATTGACCTTGGTGATTTTGAAATTCGGTTCTTGTAGTCCTTGGCCTGTTAGTAAGAAAGCTATGTTAGAAGGCGACACAGCCATGCCTTGATAGAAACAAACTTACAGATCAGTGCAAAAGTTGAGGGGAAGGTAAGCCCTCAGGAGGAGGTAAGCCCTTAGGGGGAGTATGGTCTTCGTCTTCATTGTCGACGGCGTCGTCGTCTTAGGTGGCCATAACGATGGCCCGAGCGCGTCATGGCGGGGGCACGGTAAAGCGGGTACGTTTGCCTGGGGTGTAGGGGGGAGCTTCCCCCCCTGCTTCACTACGACCAAGTGGAACACGAAAACCCTTAGAACTTGCAAAGTCAGGGGTGTACACATACAGACGAACAAAAACACAACCTGCTGTCTTGATGTCAAATTGAGGAGGTGGGGTGGCGGTAGGCCCCAAGTGCGAAGACTCTCTACACGAGAGCGCGAGCTTCAGCCAGCTGTCAAAAAGTGAAGGATCCACACGAAAGCTCAATTCTGAGGCAAAATGTGACGATGCGGTCGTCGCGAGCTGAATTTTGTGCCAAAATTTGGGTACGCTCTATGCGAGAGATTCGGCTGAGATATTCGGAGCCAAAATGCGTGGATGCTTCACACAAGTCCCAAAGCGCCGCATTTCGAGCACGTAGCAAGCATAGCAGTAGTAAAACAGTGACACTAGCAACAATGGTACAAGTAATAGTAATAAAACTGCCACTAATAATCATAACAGGAAAAACAATGATGATCGAAATGATCGGAAGAAATATCATGGCTACAGTACACGAATGTTCCTATCAGTAGTAGTAATCGTACTAGCAGCAGAGATGAAAACACCATGACAGCAACAGGCAATAGTCTGAAGACCACCAATTGGTCAGCTTTCAGGGATCATAGTTTCGGGTTTATTCCTGAAATATTTCTGATTTTAAATTTAGTCGGGAAAATGATTCTGAAATTGGAAATGGTTGGCAAAGTGGTTTCCAAGAATGTGTGAGAACCATTCAATTTCATGCCCTGCCCACCTGGAAGGCTGTGTGGGGGGGGGCTCCCCGCCGGCAAGGGAAATAAAAAAAAATAGAACAACAAAAAGTATTCAAAAAATTCAAACAGTGCGTGAGGCTGTCTCAAAATTCCTAAAATGTCATGCCCCGCCTGCCTGCTGCGGAGGAGTCCCCGCCAGGGAGGAAAATCAAAAAAAAATAAGAATAAAGCAAAAATCTTCAAAAAAAAATGAAAACCGCTTGAGGCTATCTCAACAGACTCAAAATTCCTAAGATTTCATGCCCCGCCTGCCTGGAAGGCTGTGGATGGGCCGGGAAGGGAAAATCCGAAAAAATACCTTGTATACAACTTGCAGACACACTCGGTTCATGAGCAAAGCCCATAATGCATTGGTTTTCACCTCGTCACGAGGTATGATCTCAGGGAGCCGGTCACCCCGGCACCGCTCAGGCTGCTAACGGGGAGATTACATCCCAAAGCGCTAACTCACTCCCAAGACACTAGGGAATGCCAATCAGCTGAGAAATTGAAAGATTCGGGCGCCGATGCGGATGTCAAAGTCCCATAACAAAACTGGAACTGCGCTGACGTAAACACAGAAGCATCAGAGGCAAACCAGGGGAGTCTAGGAAGCCTTTGCAACTGCTGGCATCGCTCCAGTTGCTCTTTGATGGAATCCACTCAAGCCACAGGGAGCACTGGCGGCAGAATAGTAGCAGGTTGATGCGTTGGGCGATGATATCAAACTCTGGGCGGTCAGAACGTCCGTTAACCAATGCCATCAAAGACGCGACGTTATCAATGAAGTAGACCCCAGTTGTGTTCCTGAAAGCCGAGGGGAAAGTAATGAGAGACTGGAAGACCATATGGGGCTCCAACTGCGCGATGTTGGTCTCTTGAAAGTCCCAAAGATTGAAGACAGAATTATTGATGGTAATTGATGGTAACCACTGCGCCCAGCCTCTGCTGAAGTGGGCTGATCAAAAGGAAGGCCCCAGAGCCTACTCGATACCCATCCTGGGCTGCATCGCTTGCAACAAGTACTCGCTAAGTGCTTCTGCGGACGAGCCGCCACAAGCCTCTCTGGCTTCAAGTCAAGAATGGTCAGCACTGCTTCAAACGCCTGACGGAGTTCTGCTGTTATGGAAATATCCCCAATGGTGCGTTGGCGCTCTTTGCTTGCATTCAAACCTGATCTGGCTACACGGCCAAAAGCCCGCTGATCCAAAAAACGTGAGGCAGCCATTTGGACGCTTGGCCCGGTCGGAGAGATCTTGTAGTCAGGGCTGCACCGACGATGTCCCAAGTTTTTTCGACAAGACGCTGCCGGACCCACAACAAGTCGCGCAGAAGGCTAAGCAAATCACCCGTCGTTGATGGCGCCTGACGCTTGTCTGGGGAAAAGCGGAAACCACATGTGGAGAACACTTGCCCTACAATGTCCTGAGCACGGTGAGCAAGATGTGTCCAGTCCTGTTGGGTGAGGTCATCGAAGTACAGGCTGACCACTGACCATCATGCAAAACAGTGTGCGCCGCGGCGCACACTGGCTTGCATGAGTCATGAGCATAGGAAGACGATTGAAGGCCGAGACCGCAAGAGGCAGACCAAACAACACGCCCCGGCACCTGCGGAAACGCGGAGAGCCTCGTTCTGGGTCGAAGTACGCAACAACGCAGGCCCAGGAATGGTCAGGCTGCGTGGGAATCTTCCTACAGGAGTGCGGGAAATCCTCGTCGGACGCACGGCCAACAGCGCCAAATGCACATGGGGATTGACGGCTGCAACGTCAGGGTGCATAGAACGGGCAACCAGGGTAACAGGTTTGCAAGCGATGGGCCAACTAATCTGTTGTTTGCAGCTGACTCGCTGAAAGAGGCAGCCCCACATCTGATGATCTGGTCCCGCAAGGCATCCTCCAGCTTGAAGCGGTGGGCTAGTTCCTGGAAGACTTGCTGAACGGACGCCACACAGGGTAGGGTTCAAGATGGGGAAGGGCAGGTATGCGTAGTCACAATGATCACAAATGGCTCACCCACAAACATCATGCGCTCATGCCACGTGAGCTCATGCCACGTGACGTGAGCTGCCCACGCTCACTGCGCACGCAAAACAGAAGTGCACTCACAAGCACTGCGGGAGATTGCTCTGACTGCACACCAGTCTTGGTCAGTTAAACTCATCCATCAGCTGGGTCAACACCACAGCGACAGCATGCGCCTCCACAAGAGGGCAGCGGTCTGGATGGAAAGCAAGAAGATGACGCACAAATCGCCGCCCGTTCTCGGGGGGCAAAGAAAAGAAAAGAGGGCAGAGGACCCAGATCAGGCAGCGGATCAGCTGCGACTCTGTAAAACTCAAGGCAGCCCTCTGCACGATTGAAGGAGCGTCCGTTTGCGGGAAGCGGAAGTCCCACATAGGTTGTCCAGAACCTGTGGCACCGGCGCGCCGGCCTGACAAATCACCTTCATCACACCCCTGAGTATGTCCTTGACCGCGAGGGCACCTGCGGCAACAGAAGCGGTGAGAGCAATGAGCTTGCTGATCACAACCTGGAGTCCCACACGCATGCGACACGTCAGGTAGACTACGCTCAGCAAACTAGAAGCCACGGCAGCTACAACGCAACAAGCAACAAAGCAACAGACAACTAAGCTCACTCCTGCAAGCGCAGTTCAGCACACAAAGTCCTACATGCGTCGCACTCTTTTTTCGATTCGCACCGCACTCGGCTTGCGGGATAGCACTCGGCGCGGCGCAACTGCTGCAGGAGCTTTGCGTTCCTTAGAGGGCAGCTTTTAAGGGCATCCCCAAAGTTTGGCCCTGCACAAACATGAGGGCAGCAATCTGACACCGGACCCTCAACGCTTGCGCGCACAGAAGATGGCGAGGGCCTCTGTGTTGATACACGGGAAGGATCCTGAAAGCCACAACGGCAGCGGACACTTCCACAGACCGCTCCATGGACTGCTGCAAAACGACCTCCTCCCAAGTGTGCCTGGCCTGGTCAAACATGATGTCCTTGAGGACGAACCAAATGCGGTGCTTGAGAGTAATGGCAGTAATGGCCTGCAATTGCTTGGCACGATGGTACCTCCAGGGCATAAAATACTGCATCCCTGAGAGGCTGCACCCAACCAGTTGCCTAAGGCACAAACATCGATCGGTGGGGCGAAGGCCGGCAAGAAACCCTATCACGGGCAACTCCCGCCAGGATTTGGATGACACCTTGTGGACCTTGCCCCTGTACATGAGCGGAGACATAGCCAGCTGGACCACGCTACGAATAGTAGCCGGCAACGTCTCGGCAGGTCAAAGGCCACAGACTGGGGATGAGCATTACGTGGAAGGGCGTTGAGGGCCCGCACAAAGGCATCACCAAAATCGGCGTCTTCTGCAACGCCAAAGCTTGGCGTGCTCCAAATTCCAAAGGAAACCAGCTTGCAGGGATCGCTCCTTCCCACGCACGCATTCCCAATACGTCTAATAAATAGTGTAACCGTCCATGGGCACCAAGCTGCGCTGAACATGTGCCAGGCGGATACAACCCATGGCCTGCAGCCAGGTGGCATACTAGTTGGGATTCTTGGCGCGGATGGCTGCAAACATGGCCTCCCCCAAGCACAACAGCATGGAAGGCTGAGCCACCGGTGCTTGCTTTGTGCCGTACCCTATGCTGCTGCCCTTTGACGCCGAGAAGGAGTGGGCAAGGCCAAGGTCGGCAGAGAAGTGCAAATGCTTGGCCATAAACATCAGGGCAGGTAAAACGCGGCTGCGGGCACGACTGGCCGCCACAAAAAGGCTAACTACCTGCAAGGCAGAAAGGCTATGGATGACATAGCTGCGCGCGGAGCAGTATTGCTTGAGCTCCTTCCAGGTGGCACGCACCCCCATGACAAGGTTGCGAGCTCTGCACCACATATATCCACCAACACAGGAGGGAACTCGGCATCACGTGCAGGCAAATCTGCAGTGGATTTTTGTGTCCAGTGCGCAACTCGCGGTGCTGAGGCGGGCTTAGTTGGAGAGGAGTGCAGGCATAGATGGTTTAGCCGTTGCTGCTTGCATCGCGTAAATGTCACGCACCTTGACTGCAAGCCCTTCACGATCCGGTTGCGGGCTACCTCCCATGCTGCTGCTATTATAGGACCCCCCGCCTCCACGGCCTCTCTTTGCGATTTTCGAAAAGAAACGCAAAGTCCTCACGGGACTCCAATCCGTTTGCGGCAAAGAAAAGCTGAAGGGGGTCAGTCTCCATCCCGGCACTCTGGAGAATGAAGGCCACCAGGCAAGAAAAGAAGCTCCAGGACACGCCTGGTTTATCTTCAGGAACTCTGATCCTAGCAATTCTGGCTGTGATCCAACATGGCAGCATATATATATATATCAAGGTAAGCTCAAGTGTTGCAAGTGTAACAATGATTGCTGTGCACCCAGCCCCAAGCACTACACAGGTCAATATTCACAAATCGCCTGAGGCTCTCCAAGATGTCATGCCCGCCTGCCTGGGAGGCTGGGGATGGGTCCCCGCCGGGGAGGAGGATCAAGAAGAAATCAAATCCAGATTCACTTCCAAATCACCTCTGGACTCACTCCAAGAATCAAATACAAATCACCTCAGGATTCACTTCATAAATCAGGATCACTTTTAGCATCACTTTCAAAATCAGTGAACAGAAGAAACTGAAAACTAAGAATCAAGCGGCTGGCTGGGTTCGGTGGGCTACAATAGCCATCATTGTGCAGATAATGAATAATTGCACTAGCATTAACGAAAGCCATAGTGCTATACGACAGAGTAATACTAATAGAAATAATACCAGTCGTGGAAATCATGATAGCGACCGTCAGAAGAATAATGAGAATTGTAGCCGCACTAACAGTACGGGTGATAATCATGGTCATATTAACAAAAATTATCAGAAGAATAATAGTAATCATGTAGAACGCTCGTTATACTGAGTAGCCAATATAGCATTACTAGTAATCCCCATAATGGCGACAATGACAAGATTCATGCGAATGACCATCCTAACACAATTTGTACTACAAGTAGTTCTGAGAAACAAACCACCGTAAATGATAAAATGAGAGCAGGCAAAAGCACAGAATAAACCGATGAAAGGTAATAGTTAAAAACCTCCAGTCAGAAGCAGAATAGCAATAGCTGTAGTACCTGAAGCAAGCAGGAGTAATAGCCAATAGATGCTTCTTAGGAGTAATAATCGCCAAACATTTATTTGTAAGAGCACAGGGGGCGGGGTTAACTCACCCCACCAGGCGAGGATTCACAACATCCGCTGCAGACGCTGGGATTGGAAAGAAGAATACACACCAGCGGGGGGCTTTCACATCAGAAAGCGGGAATCACCATGCACACTGCTTCCAACTTAGCAGAGCATGCAACTACCCTTTCACCTGAGGATGCGGAGGGTGTGCAAGAAACTTACAAGGCTGTTTTACCCATGGTTTACCATGTAGACGCTGGTCTCAGATACGTGCGACAGGTAGGCCAAACAAGCTGACCAAAGCCGTTTTCCATAAGACATATTAGTGACAGGAGATGGCCAGCCCAAAGCTCACCCATTTACCAACCATGACTTATCATGGAACCTCATACTGAATCACCGTCTAACTCTAGGAAACAAGGGAATATTTGCACATGTACTGAAACCTTGCGGGCGCTGTGGAAAACATTAAATCAAATCAACAAACAGCGGAAGACATGAATCTGTCCCAGTTCCCCTGTGTGGCCGCCGATTGGCGCATAACAAAAAAGCGCACGGCGCACGCTAGTAATCTCTTCATTAGAATAAGTAGTCGGCGTCGGCGTCATGTTGGCCATTGTGGCGGTCGTCGTGGTGGTCGTGGTGGTTGGTGGCCGCGGCGGTGTTGGTGGCGGCGGCTGCGGTCGTGGTGGCAGCAACAGATGACAGATGACGGCAATTTGGGGTCTCCAGGTTTGAGTGCTTCAGGCAGGGTAACCTCAAGGACCCTAAGGGTTTCAGAGGCACTGTGAGAGGAGGGTAAGGGTCCGAGCCAGGGGTTAGATAGGGTTAATTTCGAGAAACTCCGGAAAACATCTATTAAACATTCGAACTGTCGTTTGTGACTTGGGTTAGGTTTTGCCTCTACCTTACAAAGAGATCAAATGCTTGTTTTGCTTGATGGCCCCTCTGCCCTCTGCAAGCAGAAGCTTTCAAGCGGGTTTCTGGCTGGATTGGCGAGGTATTGCGATTGTTTTTTGAAAACAGTGGGGAGCTTGGGGCGCACGATCTGCCTCCACTTGCACAACAGGGATGAGGATGAGTACCTGCACTTGATTGCGAAGCTTAGTCTCACGCAAAGCATTGCCTTGGGAGAGTGGGGGCTGGTGTTTTGCTGTTGGGGCAGGGAGGTGGCGGTGTAGGGAGGGAGGTGTTTCTCTTGCGCTGTTGTCATGTGACGTTTTTTGCTGTTGGTTTCTTTTGTGTTTCTGGCGGTGACGGGCGGGGGAGATGCTCTTCGTTTGTTCAAGGTGTGGGGCAGGGGTGAGAGTGCCTTCCGGGGTTAGGGCGCCAAACGGGTGTTGTCTCACATGCTCAGGTTGAATGTGGACAGCGCAAATGCTTTCTCAACAAAAAAATCTGAAGTTTCAGAAGGTGGCTCATTTTCTGCATGTCGCGCATGTCTCCGTTTGGAGTGCAATGGCCCAGGCAGCCCCCGAGAGACTCTAATTCAAACGCATGTTTCGAGCAGTAGGTGAGAGGCTTGGCGGCTGACATCTTCCTCGTACTTTGTTTCTCTTACTACGAGGCGCATGTCTTTTCAATCAAACTTCCTCGTACAAGCCGCTGAGGGTAGCCTCCACCAGGACTTGATTTCTCTTATCGTGATCTTATGGAATTTGACTTGTAGAATCTTGTAGATCATGAAACGTGAAACCCAGTTTCAAACACGCACATTGAGAAATTGAACCCATTTTCCGGGGGGTGGCTCGAGGCTTGTCTGAGTGGTGCCCAGGCCCTCAAATGCGCCAATGCCAGTTGAGGCGGCTGATTCCTAAACTCAAACGGTGCTGATGCACGCTCTCGTTGTACCAGACAATGTGGTTTCTTGCTTCACAGCCACGGTGGCATGTTAAAGAGACCACCCCTCTGTCTGATGTCAAGACTGCTCTTGTTGCTCACACGACCTATCACGTCAACAAAGGGCTTCCTTGACAAGAGGCTGCCCATTGATCAACATGCAGTCAAAGGCAAAGAGGCAAACATTCACCTGCCAGCACAGTCTTGACCCGACGCAGCATAGGAAAAATGCTGCGACAAAATGCCTTGATATCCTCCACTGCGATGTTTTTGCGTCCTCTGGTTGTCAGCACCTTCTGCGAGGACGCGTGTACTACGCAGGGCGGTTTATAGATGATGGTAGTACTGCAAGACAACTCCTCAAACTCCACTCTTGAAAGGACATCAGTTCACGTAGCATGAGTCATTTGAATTTCAATGAAGAGATCAAACAAACGGGAAGTGCTGACCTTGCGGCCAACTTCCACAGGCAGTTGCCACGGACTGTGCCTGCCACCTTGATGATCAAGGTGCTGCAATCCCACATGACGAGAAGCATTGCTTCCCACTCATGGGGCTTGGCAGAAGATTGTGGTGCACTTTTGAATGGCCTCTGTCCGCGAAGCCAACAAACCAAAGAAACAAAATCTGGAAAAGTCTGCCCATTTGCGTGCTACATCACGGTTTGCTGAAGGCTCCTGCGCTACAGTAATATGGCTCAATCACAAGCAAGGAGCAGACGTGGGATCGAGGAGAAGGGACCAGGAATTCCAGCATTTTAAGGAACTGCGAGCACGCATGAGCTCCGTCTTTGCAGCCCTTGCGTGCCCTGCCATTCACGTTTACATCCTGCTCTGTTGGCGCGCTTGCCAAAGCAATGCATGCAGCACATCTCCTCATAAGCATTCACGCGCATAGCGCTTGGCAAGGAAAGCAAGGCTTGTCGTGAGGATTCCATCTGCAAACCGAGCTGTTGGCTCCCTGCATCTACTTGAGGCTCATTTCACACCAGGCATGGTCCACAGGACCAGACGACGACAGTGCGCAGTTGGCTCGATTTTTCAGGCAACGCAGTCAAGTAGGAGAAACAAGAAGAAACCAACAAAAGCAGCAACAGCGCAGCCTGGAAAGGCAGGATCTTTTTGTTGATCTGGTCAAATGCGACTAGCTCGCTATCGATGATGCAGCTCTGGACATCCTGCACAGCAAAAGCTCCAAAGCTCTCTCGCAACAGCGCTGCCAATGCCGCTTCTCCTCTGCAAGCGAATCTTTGACCACCTCCCCAAAGTCCAGTCGTCAGATCAATACCACAATCAGGTTTTGAATGTCTGGCCTGGATGACGTCCGGATATTTCTCCGTCATGTTCTCTGAATTCCGGCTGTAGATCTAAGAACGGACAAGTTCGCTCCAAAACAGGCGAGACGGATACTGTTCACGTTGTGATTGGACTCTTTGGGTATAGCCTGGATCGTGTCCTTGGACAGGACATGGATCTGAGCACGCTCGCCATCATACTTCCACTCGCCAGTGAACCGTTTGCCGGACAGCCGCTCGCCGACCTGACCGGAGCTCAGTACGGGCTTTGCTGCAAAGCTTTGAATGCCTTGCCTCAGCAATGCCTTTGGAGGGCTTTGCCAGCCTTGGCTGCATGTTGATGGCCCACTGAGACACTGCGAACAGCACAAGCTGAGCCACAGAACATGCAGACTTACCTGTTAGGCCCTGGCATTGGCTTCACTGGAACACCAAGGGAGATGCGACACACCTCAAGCAAAGAGCCACCTGACAGGCAAAGTCACTTTTGACTTTTCAAGCAAACAGATTTGAGGCTGGCCATCACGCCCCTCCATCAACGCTGAAATCAGCTTGTCCTGGAATGAGTGCATTCGACAAACGTGGCAAGCACGGTCATGGAAGCCAGGGATCCGGACGAAGTTGGGCATTTCACTGAAGGCCTGCAGAGACATACTCCATGCAACCATGCAGCTATGCGGTATGCCGAGGGGACGCTTTTGGGGCCCGGACTTGTCGAACCGCGGCCTCCATGGCAATCATCTGTGGCTCCAGATCCGATGCAGACAGTTTCGCCTGCGACTGCATTGCATCCAATTACCCCTACGAGTAGCAATCAAATCTGAGCATGTGCGGGCACCTGGCCCTTTCTCCTGTCGGTTGCGGCAGCAGGTCCATTGGGCTTGCCAGGTTGAGTGAGTGTGAAGGCGTAGGCCAAGGCCTCGCAGAGTATCTTTGCAAGGCAGCATTGCAGAATCACACCAAGCTCCCTGGATGAACCTGCAGGAGCGTGGGTATTTGGATTCCAATCCGCAGCTTCGCCTGACTGCCATCAGACTTAGCAAGCTGCGCGGCACGCGCCAGCATGCTAAAACTCATTTCCACAAGAAGGGTTGGTCTGGGGAATTGGCAGAATCCCTAGCAAGCTCAGACATCTTTGACTAGTGAACTTCAAGGGCGAGTGCTGCTACGCCATAGACGAACATGAACATGAAGGTATCACCCATCATCACCCCTTCCTCGTGCAATCTTCATTGCATGGTGTGGGTACTCCCACACCATGCACCTTGGCAACCTACCTGGCAGCACGCATCTTCACCTAAGCGTGCTGGTGCCGGGACAAGTCCAGCTTCGGCTTGCACCCGATGTGTTGTCAAGATCGACAACAGAACCACTGGTATCGCATGCTGCTTTCTAGTCATTCACTTGCACCACTGACCACTTCTGAAGGAGAGCTGGCTCAACTGACCCAGCACATCTCAACAACAAGTACAATCCGTCAATCCGTTGACCCACCAAGCCTTTACTGCAAGCACCCCAAACCCAGTTGTGATGTTTATTCGCATGCTGCTTTATGTGAAGCCCATTCGAGCGCCTGCAGCATGCGTACAATAAACTTTGCCTTCACATGGAGGGAAACATGACGCGAGAAGACAGAAACGTGCTGTGAAGATCAAATGAACTTGCTTGCGCCTCTTCACCTCTGGAGGCCACGAGAAGTTTTTTGATTTTGTCCTGCAGACATTAGTCAGACGTTATGTGTTCTCTCCACAGGCTGTTCCAAGGTACAAAGGGTGCAACTTGGGCATCGCCGAACAATCATGAAGCACTGAAGGCCACAACAATGGAACCGTGGAAAGATTTCGCAGAGATCTCAAGAGTTGGCACTTCTAGCCGGAAGGACGAAATCAACAACACCATGTGCACAGAGTCCTTCTTCGCTTTCTGCGAGTCTTTACCCGCTGAGTGAGCTATGGCTTTCATTTCGCTGAAGACCTGTTGCAAGGTGTACGACTTTCTATACAGGTTCCAATGTTCCGGCAGCAGCAAGCGGAGCCTTGGAAATAGTAAGCTTCGGCGGCATCATCAACATCTTCTGCGACCTCAGAAGAAGTCCGAGTACAACAAAGCCTACAGTTTTCTGATCGTTTTTTCTCCAAAGCACAGCGCAGCAAGACATTGTGCAACATACATCTAGTGTCCAAAATAAACAAGGTCACTAGTGGCGCGTCTTGTCTTCTCTGTCGACAGCACTCCAAAGCCCTCTCTATGCAGGCCTGGGTGCCTGCTAAATTCGAAAAATTCTGAGTCCTCTCCCCATCTTTTGTGGGAGCAAGGCAGCACATGCAACTCTGCAAAGCTAAAGTTACAACTTCGATGGCCTGGCGCCGGACCTAACATTCAAATGCTGCAAACCATGCTACAGCCATGGAGAGTCATAGAAATCTGAGGTTTTGTACACATGCTTGCTGAGACGAATAATGAAAGGCACCAGGCTCTTGCAGTGGTGGGATAGCCGCCGATGAGGCGGAAGCACCTGCAGCATGTGTCCCCCAAGCAGCCAAGAAAGATGTCAGGCGCTGTTGGAAACTGCTCCCGACAAGGCCAGACCTTGCCGGTAAACTTTAGCAAATGTGGCACTTCTTGCGACGTCTTGTTTTGGTGGGCCTACGAGTTCGTGAAGACAACATTATGCTTTGGGAGCTTCTGCGAAGTCTTCACATGGACAGTTCCCTCGTATCTATCATGAAATTGCATACTACCCCCCCCCCTACTCCCCCCCTTCAAGAGGTCTCTATTTTTGGAATGGCCAAAATAATACAGGAATAAACTAATTATTTGGGGTCTATCTCGGGTGTGTGCCAACCTTCAGATCAAGCTCCCAACGTTTGGCAAACTTGGTCTGTGCCCAATACAAGATCCTCTGCCTATCCTGAACCCGGAGCCTCCTGGAGAAGTCATAAGCCAATCAAAATTCAAAAGCCACATCTACGTGTAAACTTGGAATGAAGGCTTCCGCCTGAGAATGCCATGCACCGCTGCAGTTATGGGCTTAGGATAATATACAGGCTACGGCAATATTTGAACACTATACCTCCCAAATAGATTTCAAATAGTGCCCGAATAGCGCCCAAGTAGCGAAAATAGATCCCAAATAGTTTCCACATAATGTCCGAATAGGTGCCCGATCCCAAAAAGAACCCAAATACCAACAGCAGACTGAACACAATCCAAACAATGCACAAATAATGGAATAAACGCATAACTGACAGGAAACCCCAAGCTCCTAATTTGGCGTGGCATGTTTTGGCTCTGCGAATCTGACGTGCAATCTCAGACCCTGGGAACATGGTACTAGAATTCGTTGGATGTTAAGCACATGTGATCCCAGTTTGCATGGATTCCTGCAAGGACTTAAATGCAAAGGGCTTTCCCACACCCAGTGCCAACCTCCCATGAATTAATCACCCCAATCTACCCCACTGGAGTAGCCAAGCGCGGGAAGGGAGGGAAAGTTTTTCTACCTCCCCCGCTGCCATAATCATGAAGACCTTTGGGCCAGCAGCGGAGGGAGGTTCTGTCCAGTTATGCCTGCGCACCCAAGGCCTGCCAAACACAACGCAGCACATAACTGACAGGAAACCCCAAGCTCCTAATTTGGCGTGGCATGTTTTGGCTCTGCGAATCTGACGTGCAATCTCAGACCCTGGGAACATGGTACTAGAATTCGTTGGATGTTAAGCACATGTGATCCCAGTTTGCATGGATTCCTGCAAGGACTTAAATGCAAAGGGCTTTCCCACACCCAATGCCGCTCTGTCCCTTTCTCAGTCATCCAACGCTGCTCCAGCTCTGTCCACAACTCTGGCAACGTGAGCTGCCACAAGAAAGCAAACTGCTCTGCTGAGAATTCTTGGGGCCGCTTGCCACCCACGTAAGTGGACCATTGGCTGTTGTCCAAATCGCGGCTCACTTCATCTGCAAAATTGGCTCCTGAAGGGACATACTCAAAAAAAAATTGACAACACAGGCCATACATCAGCAAGTGGACTAGTGCCACTGTTCTGTCTTGAACTGCATTTGTGGAGTTTCCCTTGACCAATGCATGCAAGCTTGCAGTGTTATCCAAGAGCCACAAGACGCGTCTGTGTCTGAAAATCGCAGAAAATGACAGCAAGACCAGCGGAACCATAGCCCCTTCGCATTCGGCTATGCAAGCAGCACCCTCTGCGTATCCCAACGTTGCCAGAAAAGGGGTCAGCCTAACAAACCCGCAGTTTGTTGCACCACGATCCCAGATGACAACGCCCCCAGTTGGAGCCGAGTCAGCCTGGGCATCAGTTGCAATGACCATCACCTGATCGAGCCGAGGAAACAGATGCACCTCTCGAGGAGTAAGAATATCCAAAAGAAATAGCAGAAAATGATACGATGCATTCAGAGACTTGGAATTCGACCATGGGGGCTTATCAGTGTATTGACGCTGCTTCAGAGGCCGCATAGCTGCACGACCCACGCGTCCAAACATCCCCATCGAAATGAAACCAGCGACCCCTCTGATCTTGCTGGCTTGTGCTGGAGTCGTACATGTCTCACATGCATTAATGAGATCCCGCAGTTTGTTTCGTACGGTTTCTTTAGCAGTGAACACGCAGACCCCTTGAGATAAAGCCCTCTCAAGGTCGTGTTCTAAGCCGAGAAAACCGCTTTTACAGGACATCAGCTCTCTCTTATGATCGGCCAAAGGCACTCCCATCGCTGTGAGAACGTCCCTTCCCAAGCGCTGTGCAGTGCCTTTTCCTGAGGCAAAATCAACGACATTTGAGTCATCCATGTACAAAGCCCACAAGAGACAGAAAACTCGTCGTGTCAGGGCTTCCAGGAATCTGCTCCAACGTGCGAACTGCATGACACTTGCACTGAAACCAAAAAGCAAAGCGCTCATTATGACAAAGAAGACCTGGTGCGTATGCGGGTGCTTCACCATTACAACGTTTGCAGGCAAATCACACTCGGCAACTGGCAACATTCGATATGCGTCAGAAATATCCTCACTTCCAGACTCGATCAAGTCTAGGCACAACTGTTCCTGTGACAGGCCTTGCCGCAAGCATTCGCACACCAACGCCTTGGTAACTGCTGCGGGCTGAAAAGCTGTGCACATGTTCATTCGCTCTGTGTACCGCAAAGCAGAATTCTGCAGCCCACGACGAGCATTATCAATCCGCCTCAATTTCCCTGACGGCTGTACATGAGCAAACGTCGGCACACCCGCCCATCCAGCCGGAAAGCGACGATTCAAGTCACCTTTCTGCATAAATGGACAAGCCCATCCTTTGCGAATTTCTTCTTGGCAGCTGTCCCAAAGAAAAGAAGCATGATCATCTAAAGGCTGAGCTTCGAACCACCGCAAGACCTCCGGCGCACGACCCCAGAGATCTTCTCTGGTAAGTGCCGGATCTTCCTCCTGCACGGGCTGAAAAACACCCGTTTTCGGTAGATCACCCAATAAGCTAAAACCATGCACCATCGCATGGGCTAGCGAGGTGTCCTTCCACTGCATAATCAGCAGTAGATATGGGATGACCCCCAGCTGAACACTAGGTAATCCCCTAGCGTGCGCAGGCTGAAATAGTCGCAACCTCTTCGTCAAATTGGAGCATCTACGAAGAAGTTCCATGAAAGCCTTCCTAATTTCATCCCTGCTGTCGCGCAGCTGGGTTCTGTGAAGCACTGTCCACTCCACAGCAAACTGCAAGTCTGCATCGACACTGGCATCATCGAAAGGCAAATGATGAACAGACGCTATGCTCTTGCACGCCTCAAACATGCTCTGAGGAGTGTCGCGTTGAGGTAAAATGTTTGGCATAGCGCCTTTTGCATTAAGGGCTTTTGTTTGCAATCCCAGAGAAGCATCTCTCTGTCCCGCACACGTCCCGTAATGAATATCCAAGTTTCCCTCCCGTCCTTCAGCCCAGCTGCTCCAAAGGGAAAACGGAGCCTGGTTGAGGAGGTCTTCCAGGAATGGCAGAGCATACCCATTGAGCCACTCATACGGAAACAGAGATCTCACGAACTGATTTATATGATGCTGGGAGAAAACCACCCTGACATCATTGGTCATGGCAGTTTGAGGCTTACACTGCCCGCCCATGGACGCCTCAAGATCCAGAAGCGGGCCCCTTCAGGCTTGCTTCTGCTTATGGTTGATGGCACGATGATTCCGCATGCCACAAGCCCTGCCATTCTCTTTGACGATGAAGGAACACGCATGGGTGAGTTTCTTGTGGCAATTCTGTGAACAGCCACCTCTATTCCAGTCATCGCAAAGCTTCGTGCCATCAGCCAGCTTGGCTGCAAACTGGCCAATCTTGGAGTCCTTTGGCTTCGACTTGTCCTTCTCATCGAAAACAGTGACTTCCCAAGAATGGTCCAGCTCGATCATTGTCTGCTCAATGATCTGACCCAGCGGACGACTGCCAAAGCGAAATCTTTCAACCCACAGCTGTCTTTCTCGCTCATCCCTCCGCTGTAGCCACGCCAGTGCTTCCTGAGGCGGGATGGCCCTCACAGATCGCACCGCCCTGCGATGGTATCGCAGCACAACGTCCAAGGGAACATGGACGTAATCGCTTGACCGCGATCCTGGGCCTTCTGCCTCTGCCGGCACCACATCCAGCGGCTTTACGCCAGCTTTTGCGAAGCCATACATGAGCACCTGGAGCAACTCCAAGTAGCTGCCGACGTTCTCCACGATGGGTTCATCAACAGGCTCCTCTGCATCTATCAGCTCCAAGGAGCCGAACTTGCGCCGCTTGCGGGTTGTCAGCAGGCTGCGCCGCAAAGTCTTAACTTTGAAGACAGATTGCACTTGCAGCATTCGTCGCTCCAGTTGCCTAGCAAGACTTGAAACTAGGGCGTCTGAGGGCGCTACCTGCACTTCCAGCTGCTGCTTGTACCGCTGATAAAACAATGTGTCCAATGACTTCAACTCATTGTTTGGCAGCAGTGCTTCGAGGTCAACAGCCTCATCACCACGTTTTCTGTTTTCCTGAGCTTGCAAATCTGCTTTTCTGATGGCCATCCACGCCTGGCGCAAACG